GTGTATGAAATAAATAAATGAATATATGACAGATTTGTGCAGCAGAAAGTAAATATATACATATAAATACACAAACCAATAAAACACATGTGACCATACCTCAGTCATCTGTGTGCCTATCACAGAAATGTTTGTATATCATAAATACTCAGATTTACTTTTACAGAATCAAACCAAATTCCATCTCTTACGCTTCTGGTTCTTCAGTCCTTTGACGTAATATTCTTGAAACAGGCCTGTGGGGTGGGGGATGCCACCTGGCCGTGAGATACAGAAGCACAGATTTATGTCGCGTTGCCAGAACCAGGTCTGCTCGCCTCTCCTCGTCGCTTCCGTTCGTCTGGTGCGCCTCCTTTGGAGACCCGCAGCATGAGTCACCAGGCCAGGCATCGTAGGAAATCAGAGGACAGTCGGCCACCCCATCCCTGCCTGGAGTGCCGCCTCACGTGTCGTGTCGTCTAGTAAGAAGGGAAAAGCAAGCAGGACCACAAGAGGTTGATTTGTGGCATGTCTGGAGAATAAGCAGGGTGAGGTAAGATCTGGAGCAAAGGCAGAAAGACGGGCATCTGTTCACAGCAGTTCAGCTCTGCTGGAGCCTGAGAAAAGATATGAGCACTCAAGGGGCCTGTTCTCCAGGACTGAGGGGTTCTGGGAGATGGGGTTTGGAGTGAAAGCCAGGAAAGTCCGGTGCAAACCGGGCTGAGGTGGTCATCCTAGTGTGCACGTACGTGCAGCTCCCAGTGACTGATTATCAAGAGTGTTAGTAGTGGAGGTATTCAGCTGTGGCATACAAAAATAGTTCAGTATTTTGATAAAGTTCAATTTTAGTTTAGTTTAGTAATTTATCTAAACCAAAATAAAGTGATTTTTAAGTACAAACCCCTTATTTTAGGCTAGATCTATCTTTGTAAAGTTCTTCTCTCTCCCTCTCTCTCCCTCTGTCTCTCTCAGTTTCTGTACTTCCAAGTGTGATCATCCATTCCCTCAGGACCAGGTAAAGGCATATTGATGTAACTCTGGCTTCCTCTGCCAGAGAGAGAGCTCAGCAAATTAGCTATCAAATTCAACCGCAGAATTTGTAATTGGAGAACTGAGTTCAGATCTCTTTGCTCAATTTGACCTTGAGCAAGTGACTGTCTCTCCAAGCCTCAGGTCCTTTGTGTTTGTGGTTGCATATAAGAATTAAACTATAGGAAATGTCAGGCGGCTAAATGTCTACTCAGCGATGCCCAAGTATCCTAAAATGAAGGCAGAGTCAAGCCTGGGATAGGAATGTGTGAGCAAGATGCCGAGGCAGGTAGCAGGCCTACCTGGAGGGTCCATATACGACTGTGGCCTGAACGCCCACACCAGCATAGAAACAAGGACAATGGAGAAAACTGCCATCTACAATTTATGGCATCTGTCACAAACTCAAGGGATTGGAGATTTAAAATAGTCATGTGTGAGCTTTCTGTCCCTCTCTTAGTAGGGGCAGCAAAGATGTACTGCACTTGCCACTATGGATGGGACACAGGCAAAGCCCCTTTGTAAGTTAGTTTTCAAAGTGTCTCCTTGTAAATGCAACAAAACTATAGAAAACACGTAAAGCAAAGGTTGATTAAATGAATTATACCACCTAAAAAAGCCCTTACCCAGATTGGGAATTAGAACTTTGTTAGAACACTGAAACTTTCCAGTGTCCCCTCTACTTCTCAGCACCCACTCTCCTGCTAAAGAGTGATCACCATCTGGACTTTATTGGTGATCATTTTCTTCCTTGGATTTTTAATTTTATCACCCAAAGGATGTGCATACCATAAAAGGAGAGTTTAGTAATGCTTGTTGTTGAAATGTCATAAAGTGTCTTTATATACAGACTCCCTCTCTCTCAGAAACTCAAATATGTATCTATTTATGTTGAGCTGCCCACAGTCTGGATTTGGCTGGTGACATCTCCATGGTTTAGTTTAATATGCAACCCTGTCTTCTGCATTCTCTGTAATTTGCTATCTTTTGGAAAAGCTCTTTCAAGAGTGGTGCCATCTTCTGTCAGGTGGCACATATATCCAGTTATCTTGAGTGTGTATGTGAGTGTGTGTGTGTGTGTGTGTGTGTGTGTGTGTGTCATGTCAACAGCCATTAATTCTCATTCCCCAGACCTGTTAATGTTCTATCACTCCTTCTTCCTTTATTAGCTGATACAGTTCTATGGAGAGAAACTCTGGCACATCTACTCTTTAGTTACTCAGAAGTATAGCTGACGCAGGAAAAGCAAGATGAATACTGGGTTCCTTCCTTTTCATTCACTTGTTGCTTTGCCCTCTTGTGTGTCAGTCTAGATCTTGACAAACATGTCCTATTTTGAATGCCACTGCATTTGGGAGGAGTAAACCAATAAACGTAAAAGCAATTAAAATAAATGCATACCCAACAAATGTTTTTACCCTTTGGTGATTTTATTTTTCCTGAGGATATTTGGAAAGATAGTCATCTACTCTCTTGCGTATTACTCTGTATAATTTCTGTCCAAGACAGATATCTAGTCCTTTGATATTTTTAAAACATTGTTCAGATGAACTCATTTGTCCCTGTCTACTTGAAACTTCATATTCTAATACCAGATTTTGAAGTTCAGTCATTGGGAAACCTAATCCACATATTCTAATGAAATTTAGACAATTTTGGAATTAGGAGTCTCCCTTCATCCTTCAGTTCTACGGGATGAGCCCACTAGTAGCAGAAGATGGAATCTTTCTAGGGTATATGGCCAAGGCTCACATTTGATAAGGGACTAAAGTAGCTCCCCTTACTTCCTGGAATAGAAACCAAAGAATAGGGGGACTAGTCCTGGATGACCGAAATAGACGAGAAATTGCTGAGAGATAACTTCAGTTTGAAATCGCTCATTACATCACTGGAACGTTTATTCCTTACTTTTTGATGACTAAGGAAACACTTTTTTAAAGCTATGTTTATTTATTTTTAAGAGCCAACTGCAAAATATTATGAGAAGAAAGCTCCAGTAAACAACAATAGCTTTAATAATTAAGTCTCCTACTTGGTTTTCAAAATCTGTCACACAAAGAAATTTTAATCAGTGGAGGAAGACAACACTTTCACTTATAGAGGAGTGAGCCATCCTTGCCTTGCTGTGCCTTAACTCCTGATTTTTTAAAGCACAGAATGAAAATCTTGCATTCTTACAGCTCAGTGATAAGAATCCTTCAAAGAAATAGCAATGCTATTCTGAGGATGTGAAGTCTAGCATAAGACATTTCATGGAAAGTAGTGCAGAGACTCAGAGAAAAATTAATTTTAAAAAGCATTAAACATACATATTTTACAAGAGCAACCTAAGAAAATTGCTTCTGTTTGTAGCCACCCACTGATTTTCATCAATGTCCCCTCATTGAAAACATTCTTTTCATGGAAGCATGAAATTAATTAACATCCACTACGATTGGTTTATAATTTGCAGGAAGTCCTCATGAACTTGGTTCACATGCGGTGTTCCCAGTTATGATGCCACCTTCATGTAGATCTCTCAGCTTGGCCTTTATCCAGGCTGTGAGGTGAAATTAGGCCCAGAAAATCAGATTATTATGCCCCAAGGGGAATGGTTGAGAAGCAGCACAATTATTGCTCATCTCCTTGCTGGTGTTGAGGTGTTCCTAGTTGCAAAGCCAATTTGTTAACAATTAGTACTCATTAGAATCATTTCCTGTTATTGATTCTGAACATTTGACAAAGTACTCTTAGGAAACTGGACCCCCAAAAGTAGCTGTACGTAAGTGCTGAGCAATTAAAAATCTTCACTATCCAATGTAATTCCTAACCAGAGTCATCAGTTTCCAAGTAATTATTTTTGCTTTGGACCCCACCTGCTATTCTGCCCAGTTTAAAGATGTGCTAGGGCAGGGACATACTTCTTAATTAGCAGAGGTTGTGGACAAGTCAGTATAAGAACAAAAAGAATGTTCTTTTATTATCTGCTTTAGCTGTTTGTAGGAGCAAAAATTGCCAGCTTGCCACACAATACATGTATTTGTGAAACTGTGAAATTAAATGTATTACTTCTAAACATCTAGCTTAGTTCTTAAAATCTGTCCACCTTTATGCATTATGAACTCTAAATATAGACTCGTAGATGGAATCATTGTGCTTTACATTAGAATTTAAATATTGCCAATGTCAGCTTTCTGAAATATTATATATGACTTTAATAAAATTAGCATAAATACTATATGCATTTGAAATTTTTCTCAGAAAAGACATTGCATTTGTATAATTTGAAAATATAGGTCTGCATGCATTACAGTGCTGCAAATTCATATTCAATATATATGCCCTTATTATCTAATTAAAATATTTATTATCTGTACAAGTATCATCTCATACTTATTTAAATGTTCTTTATCTAGACCAGGAAAATGTGCCATCTTTCCTCTCAACTAAGTAATTAATGGTCTTTATGTATGAACCAGGCAGTTATTTTTGTAGGATCAGAATTAAAACTGCATGATGCCCCCCAAATTGTTCCTTTTCCCCATCATTCCCCAAATTTTCCTTTGCTTCTGTGTTTATTTCATAAATTTAAGTAATTGTTCCTGTTCATCTTCCCCAGACTTAATAATGCTGAAAATAATTCTTCTAATTGTTGCAAATCATGGAGATGTGAACTAAGTGTATTTCTGTTTCCGAATTTCTTATTCCCCTGTTACAAGCTTCCATCAGAGGGGATATATTAAGTGTATGTTCTTTTTGGAAATGCCCTGTGCTCAACCCCTCTATCCTTAATAAACAGAGATGGTATTGACACGACTGAATTTTGTGGAACCACACTACATTTGCTTCTTAATTAGTGAATATTCATCTGTCATCAGCCGCAGCTATGACACCCCTCCCCGCTAACATGTTCTGTCATAAATAATCAATGAGGCACTATTAATATTCATGAGCTGGAATCTGTGTAGTCATGTGCGCTGATGCAGAGACAGGGGGAGTGTTGCCATGAACTGCCTGGAAAGTCCGCGTGTGTATCCGTGAGCGCAAGACACTCGCTCGGGGAAGGCGAAGAGGAGCATGCCGCTCCGCGCAGCCCTGGCTGGCGCTTCCCGCGGACCGCGGCGGGCCTGTGCTTCCGGGCCCAAGTGACCGATGAAAACCGGTGGCCAAGTCTGGAGGGTGCTTCCCTTTCAGCTCGCTTGCCTCCCAGTTCCGGGGAAATTAGAAGACTCGCGCGCGCGCTCTGCTCCTTAGAATGGGCTGCAATTTGTGCACTTTCCAGAAGAGAGAGGAACACTACAAACTGCTGTACGAAGTTTGCCAGGTGAGTGCAGACCGGCGCCGCGGCCGGGCGGCCAGGCTTTGTGCGGGTCTGCAAGACGGCCGGGGGATGGTGCCTGTAGCTTTATTCCTTCTTTCAGGAGATTCAGAACTGAGGGCAGCCTTGCTGGTCGGGGGCTTTTTATTTCGGGTTGCGGTGGCAGTTTTCAGCCTCCTCGCCACTCCCCCTTCGGAGGACTTCCTGTGGGATTCTTTATAACATTTTTTTCTATCTGCTGCCAAGATGTCAGTCAAGTAAAAGGAGTAACACTCTAATGTTTTGAGACACCTCTTTCATTTTGGAATCATGTTGACATTTGAAAATCAAGCGTATCATTGTCTGCATAAATATTGGGATTTAAAAGGTCTGGGATCTCAGTTATTTTGATTAGATAGGAAAAGTTTCTTGCCAAATCTTGTTAGCCAGAGGAATTATTTGATTGATTAGGAATTTTTGCTTTGGTTTAGCAGAAAGACCTGGTATGTTTGTATCATATGAGGAAAAACTATGCCATGTCTTGGCTGTAAAAGGGGATAAAGGAATTTTCTTGTCACTTGTTCTTGGAACCTTTTATATATATATATATATTCTTGTCTGTTTAGTAAGATAAATTGATTTAAAGAGCTTATTACAGTGTCTGTGTGTGTTCTAGGGAAAAAATGTGTAAATTCAGATGTTCCTTTAATGTATACCTGAGGGTTTTTCAGAATAAAAATAAGAAAACTATATCCCTAACCTTCATCATCTTCATAGATTTCTATTAATTCTTCATTTTATTTAGGCAGGTTTCCCTTGGTGTGTTTGCTCAAGTACAGATGTCTTATTTGTCAGTATAAAGTTTATTCCACCCTTCCTCTGGTTTGCCCCAAATATGACACGCCTCCCCTTTTGTTTTTTAGACAATATTGCTGATGAAAGATAATGTTTGGGGGGCTGGTGGCCCATGGGCACAGCAGTAGCCAAGTGCCCGCTGCCTCCTGGTTCCCTCGGATTCCCCCCCAGTTTGGTTCATTCCGCAGTGGGCTAATTACAAAGTGGATTTGCTACACATGAAACAGCCTCCTCAGTTGCAATGTTAATGCACATTTTCATGGTAATGTGATCAGAGGCTCATTAGCCAGTTTCCAAAATGATCCTCTGCATTAATTAAATTTAAAAATGACTCCTTTATCACCACAGAGAGGAAAACGAAGATTAACATTGTAAAATTACACCAGGGGCAGTACCTTTCGCTTCCTTTTTTACTGCAAACTTGCAAAGACAGGCTAAAATAATATTCATTTCCTAGGTGAGCGCTCAGCCGCTTGGACTCAGGAAAACAGGCTCCAGGTGGAACGCTTTCCTTTAGTTTGGTTTGTCGGAGTTTGAGTTCCAGTATTCTTTTCCTTTGCGGGGTGGGGGGAGTGGATTAATTGACGTTTTCCTCTGAATTGCTGAACTAATATAAAAGTGCACTGCGGAGGAGAGCTAGTGGCATCCTCCTGACGATCCTTAGGTTAGGCTGTTCATGTCCTGCTAAGAATCTGGCAGGACTGCTGCACCTGGAGAGGACCACTGTGTCTGCTTAGGGGCTGGAGCCTTTGTTGGAGATTTTTAAAACGCTTGTCTGTGAGTTTTGCTTTTAAGTGCTTCCTAAATCTTGAGGAAAATAGATAAACCGAACTCTTTATTATCTCCACCTGCACTCCTCCATATATTTATTTTATTTTCTCTACTCCTGAGTTGCAGTACTTATGATCTTTAATAAAGGTGGTGAAAAATGAAGCATTAGCTTCCATTTAACTGGCTTTTATTAGATAAGTTAAAACCCTAGCTTTAAAGGTCTTGCACGCGTTTTCCAAGGAGAGCCCTCCTACAGCTTCATGTTCTATTTTACTGAGTTAATGGAATAGATAAGAAATCAAAGGAAACCAGTGATAGTCTCATATAATACGCTGGAGCCCGTGTGGTGCTGCAAACTCGTTTCTATTTTTATTTGGAGGAGAGGCAGCTCGGAGCACACATGAAAGTGAGTGTGCCCTTCATCAGGTGTGCACGAGGGCACACAGCTGCCCCCGTAAGAGAAGATACCACTTACAAAAGTGACTTGAGCTTGGCAGCCTAGGAGCTTCATTTCCAGCTGGTATATTAAAGTGAATTAGCTCACACAAACATTAACACCTGTTTGTCCAAATCATATTTATTTATAGACTGGCAGTTCTCAGATCATCTGCTTTTTTGTTTCTTTGTTTATATTTCCTAAAAGCTAAGGAGATTCAAGTTTACCAGGGGATGTGAACATTTAAGATTAGCGGTGAATACTGAATGCATGATAAAGAGCAGAACGTTTATTTCTGTATAATAGAATGATTGTGATGTTGAACTTTCTCACATTCCTAGATTTAGCGATCTGGTAATATGGGCCAATTAGAATATGCTTTCAGGTTTATGACAAAGGCAAAAAGCAGTAAACAAAAGCAAATGTGCTCACTGAGGAGTCTATGGAGACAATTGGAATGGTGAGCTGAAGTGTGAAATGAGGTCAAGTGTATATTTTGTTGATGTTTTGTATTCCTAGAGGAACTCGGACTTTCAATTGGCAGAGAGAAGGAATGTCACTTCAGGAAAATTATTTTCATCCAGAGTTGGGCCAATCAGGCTCCAGTATGAACACAGATGCAAGAATCTAGGGCTCGGGTAGATCCAGGAACCACACCACATGGTATTCATGCATCTTTATGCATCTGTTAACTTTTGTATGTGCCATGGACACTATGGTTATCCCCAGTGATTGATTTATTCAGAGTAGGTTACTTATTAACCTCTTAAGAATTAATAAATGAGTAATTTGAAAAATGCTTTTCTATTAGCAAGAACCAAATTGCCTGTTTCACAGTAATCTGATTAAATAGCCACCTGTAGCGACACAGCTTCCATAGCTTGTTTTTAAGCATTTCTGACCTAATAACAGATTTACTTCTGAGTGAGACTGTGTGGTAACACCTGAATCTATTGACTTCTGAGTTTGGTTTTTCATACATAAATCAAATGCAATTTCTTGAGTGATTAAATAATGAAAACTATCAATGGGGTGTTAGCTGGTGTTGAATAGTGTGTTCAAAATGTGGACAAATATTTAAAAGTTCATACTGTCAACATAAAAACTGTTCATAAGATTTCATTAAGGTCTATAATGTGATATGCAAGATTCTTCTCTCACTCATTTGGCAAATTAGAGAAAAAGAAATTGCCTATAATCTCAGGAAAACCAGAAGTAAAATAATACTAGATCTCCAGGCAGTGTGACTACTGTCCTCTTCTGAGGGGGGGACACAGAGTTGTATGACACAGAGTTGATTTCTTCCTTTGACTGGTTTGGCACCATTCAAAGGTCTTCCCACAGCTTGCTTCCCTGAATTAGTGACACAAACCAAAACAAACCTGCATTGAAAATAACCAACACTAGCAATGTTGAGAGCAGCTAACAGTAAGCACCCACTATCTTCAGGCGCTGTGTGCTAAGCACCTTTTCTCAAAGCACTGTCTTATTTCATCTTCGCAAAAACTCAGTAAGGGCTTAGAGGACCACTTCCCACAATGTAGAATGTGCCTTCCTCTTTTGTGTGTCAGTGAGTTTGAGTCTCATATGATCTTTCTGGTCTAGTTACTGTTTTATACCCCTCAGGAATTTACTGAGGCACATACCCGAGTCATGGTGCCTCGATTACTTAAAATGAAGTGGAACTTCTCATCCCAGTATATTCAAGGCCATCCTGAGCTGGTCCTGGGTTCATTTCCAGCTATCTGTCTAACTGATCTTCCCCTAGACAAGTGCGTTTTATCATCCCTCCAGACCAGTTCTTTTTGCTCTGTTTTTTTTTAAGTCCGCTTCCCAGTGTGGGCCTGTTGGAACTTTGTTCTTTTTCTTCAGCCCCATGGACTCCCTCTATGTCCATTTGCACCACTGTCTATTTTCTTCCACCTCTAGGTGTACAAACCCTTTGGGTTCAAATGTCTCCTTGCATAGAGAGTTTTTGAAGTTACTGATTTTTAAAAATTTATGTCTTCCAAACATGGAACTCTCATAATATTTTGCTTTTTTAGAGTTCCTTTTTCACGGTCATCTATCTGGGAGTTGTGGTCAGTTCTTCATGACTCAGTTGTGACCTTTCTGAAGACAGGCAGGCCAGGCACATGACTGCCCTTTAGCCCCTCTTACCAGCAGACACCCCTCAAGGCCCACCACAATGCCCTGCATGTCCACAACCTCTTTAGAGTGAAGTACCCCATTCACAGCTTCTGGTAAAGGACCATATCTCCTGCCTTCCTCTCTACCCCATACCTAACAACTGATTAAACCAGGGCCAGTAACCTGGTGCATGAAGTTGAGGACTTAATTAGGTTTTTTTCCCACTCTTAGAAATTTATAGTGGGAACAGTCCATTAGTAATGGGATTAGGATACAAAGAAATGTGGAGAGAGGAGGCTTTAAGTAGTTAGAGGAGCCTGGAGGTCTGTGGTTACCAGATGTTTGAGAATAAGCTCTACCAAGAGACTCAGAGACACCTGAGCAGTAAGGCCACATGGGTCATGAGAAAGAGAAGCAGACAGACTAACAGCAGATCCTCAGTGTGGCCTCACTTTCCCAGGTCCAGTACGGTCCTATGATAAATCCACATTTATTTTCATTTGCTTGAATGACATGGCTATTCCTTACAGTCAGAAGAACAAATGAAGACACATCAATAATGCCTTGGTTTTATTAACCACCTGGCAGATGCCTTAAACTCTAGACATGTGGTTCAGTCCCATACATTTTCAGGGAGCTCTGATTACCTGATAGGTGCCAAGTCCTGGTCTTTGCCATGAGGAGTGCATGTGTGATCGTCCTTGCTGTCACATTCAGCAGTGCACACTCCATGGCAGGAGAGAGACACGTAAGCAGAGCATTCTCATGCAGTGTGGTCAGTGAAGCATTGAATCAGCAGAGATGTTGACTGTTCACTGTTAGAGCACAAAGATGC